GCTAAACTCTTCAGGGAATAGTTTTATGATTAAAGCAAAAAAAAAAGTATTGTGAATTTACTTTTTCTCAATTCTACATCAAGCAGAGAACGGGAGGGAAAACAAAGATGGCTGTGACATGGATTTTGTTCTCAGTTTTTAAACAGTTAGTTTTTCTTTTATAAAAGTATATTTGAATCTACCTATTTGTCCCAATGTTCTCATCCCTTCTTACCAACTCTTCCTTCCCCCAAAGGCACTAGCTTTAAAATAAGTACGACCTTTTCTGTGCCCTTCTTCTTATTTCAGTTAAAAAATCTGGAAATAATACATGAAACAAGATTTAATTGTTAGTGAACAAAAGTGAAAATTATAAACATTGTGTTTTAATATATTTTTAGGAAGATGTATTTTTCTCCAAGTGTGGAAAGAGATGGCTAGATTTTTTTTAGTCATTTTTTCCAGCTGCCTTAAAGTGTAGTTTTAAATTGGGAGGTTCTTGGGAGTTAATCGTTTTACAATTCTTACCTATTAAAACAATACTGTTTATTATTTAAATTTCTTAAATGCAGGTAAGTGACAAAAGAAATCATGCTTAATGCCACTACTCAAAGGTAGTGTCTACTAACTTTTAAAAAAAATAATTTGAGGTGAAATTCACATAACATAAAATTAACCATTTTAAAGTTAACAACTAAGTGGCATTTAGAATATTCACAGTATTTACAATGCTGTGCAATAAATACCACCTCTATGCAGGTCCGAAACATTTCTATCACTCCAAAGTAAAACCTCTTACCATTAAGGAGTTTCTCCCCTTTCCTTCACCTCAACTCCTGACAACGAGCATTCTGTGATCTATCTCTATGGGTTTACCTAGTCATTTAAATGGAATCACACATATGAGACTCTGTGTGTCTGGTTTCTTTCACTTTAGCGTGTTTTTAAGACTCATGGACATCACAGCATGTATCACTACTTAATTCCTTTTTATGACATAACAATATTCCATTGACCATTATTATCACATTTGTTTATCTATTCATCCACTGATTGGATGTTTCCATCTTTTGGCTATGCTGCTGAATTCATCTTTGTGAATAATGCTGCAGTGAACATGGTGTACATAGACTTGTTTGAATACCTGTTTCAGTTATTTTGGGTAGATACCTAGCAGTGTAATTACTAGATCTTATGGTAATTCTATGTTTAACTTTTTGAGGAACCACCAAACAGTTTTCCATGGTAGCTAAACAATTTTGCATTTCTAACAATGTAAAATTTACATTTCTAGCATTTCACAAGGGTTCCAATTTTTCCACATCCTTGCAACACCTATTTTTTTTAATTTTTTAATTTTGATATCATTAATGTACAATTACTTGAACAACATTATGGTTACTAGACTACCCCCATTATCAAATCCCCCCCACATACCCCATTACAGTCACTGTCCATCAGCATAGTAAGATGCTATAGAATCATTACTTGTCTTCTCTGTATATACTGCCTTTCCCGTGCCCCCGCTACATTATGTGTGCTAATCATAATCCCCATTTTCTCCCTTATCCCTCCCTTCCCACCCACCCTCCCCAGTCCCTTTCCCCTTGGTAACTGTTAGTCCATTCTTGGGTTCTGTGAGTCTGGTACTGTTTTGTTCCTTCAGTTTTTGCTTTGTTCTTAGACTCCACAGATGAGTGAAATCATTGGATACTTGTCTTTCTCTGCCTGGCTTATTTCACTGAGCATAATACCCTCTAGCTCCATCCATGTTGTTGCAAATGGTAGGATTTGTTTTCTTCTTATGGATGAATAATATTCCATTGTGTATATGTACCACATCTTCTTTATCGATTCATCTACTGATGGACACTTATGTTGCTTCCATTTCTTGGCTATTGTAAACAGTGCTGCGATAAACATAGGGGTGCATATGTCTTTTTCAAACTGGGCCTTGCAGCACCTATTTTTTAGCATTTTTAAAGTGTATAGCCACCTTTGTGGGTGTAAAGGGGCATTTGTGATTTTGATTTGTATTTCCTTAGTGACTAATGATGCTGAGCATCTCTCCATGTGTTTATTAGCCATTTGTGTATCTTCTCTGAAGAAATGTTTACTTATATCCTCGGCTTATTTTTAATGGGATTGTCTTTTTGTTGTTCCGTTGTAGATTTCTTTATTTACTCTGTATGTTAGACCCTTATTAAATATATGATTTGCAAATATTTTCTCACATTCTATAGATTGTCTTTTCACTTTATTGCTTGATAATATCAGTCAACATTTACTTATTGATAATGTCCTTGATGCACAAAAGTTTTTAATATTGATGCAGTCCAATGCATCTATTTTTTTCTTTTGGTACTCCTGCTCTGGGCTCATATATGAGAATCCATTGCCCAATCCAATTCATGAAAATTTACCTTTTTTGCCCTACGAAATTTATGGTTTTAGTTTATATTAGGTGGTTGAAACATTTTGAGTTGGTTTTTTTATATAGTGTGAGGTGGGGTCCAAATTCATTCATTTGCATGTGGATATCCAGTTATCCCTGCACCTTTTATGGAAGAGACTATTCTTTCCCTATTGAATGGTCTTGGCACCCTGTTGAAATGAAATTGGTCATAGGTGTATGGGTTTTTTCTGGACTTTTAATTCCATTGCACAGGTATATATGTCTGTCCTCAAGCTAGTGCCACACTGTTTTGATTATTAATGCTTTATAGTAAGTTTTGAATCTGGGAAGTCTGAGTCCTATAACTTTGTCCTTTTAAAAGATTATTTGGGGACTATTGCAACTCATATGAATTTAAGGATCTGCTTTTCCTGCTATACTACTTCTGCAAAAAATAGTATTGATAAGTATTGCACTGAATCTATAGATTTTTGGGGGATAGTATGGATATCTTAAGAATATTAAATCTTCCAATCCATGAACACAGGCTGTCTCTCCATTTATTTAGGTCTTTTTAAAAAAATGTTACCAATGTTTGGTACTTTTCAATATGATAATCTGTTTGGGATAAATCTCCAGATAAAATATATAGGGCTAAAGAGTATACAAAATTCCAAATATATCACAAAATTTTCCTTTAGAAAGGTTTCCCAAATTACACTTTTATTCAATGTTAATCAGTTTGAGGGGTAAAAAATCATCTTGTTTTGCTTTAATTTTCACTTCTTTGATTCTCAGTGATATTAATACCTTTTCATGAGTCATTTATAATTCTTAGTTAGAAACATTTGTTTGTAAACATGCCTCAATAATGTCTGACTTTCTAAATTGGATTTATAGAACTATGTCTGGTTGCCACAAACAATGTGAATGCAAGTGAGAACATTATTATTATTGTTGTTGTCTCAGTTGTATTATTTTCCATAATATCCTTAATTATGTACAATAAAGCATATTAATCTCAAAGCCCTTCCATTTTAATTTTGTGGATAATTAATAAATCAGAATATTTGAGAAGAAGGAATAGCTTGGTTTGTCTTTTACCGTATATTCCACCTGGACCCTGACTCCATATCTAAACATTATGACTTTAGCAACTAAAGATGAGCAAGTAAACATCTCTGGTACTAGAGCACCCATGTTCCTACTTAAACTGGCACTACAATTGCTGTTCACAGAATCTTAGAGCTGGAAAGGGCCTCAGAGACCATTTAACATAACTCTGTAATTTTATAGATGACAAACTTGTGGCCCAGTCTGGTGATACAGTTTAACAGAGGTCACAGTCAGGGGCAGGATCCAAAATGCCACAGTCCTTCCAGAAGGCTAAAGTTGTCTCTTATACAGCCAGAAAACAGTGTTAGCACTTAAAGCCTATGTGCTCCCTGCAGGTCTCAGAGGCTAAAAATGTCTGCTGCAATCCAATCAATCCTTAGAACAAGTAGTGGGAAAAAATGTGAGCCCTTATTTTAACTTGGATAAATATATTTTTCTTGCCACACATAGCCCTAAGCAAAGGTTATGCAAATATTTCAGGTACGTCTGGGCAAACTTTTCCTCTTTTCCAAATCTTGTTTTCCCTTTTGTTATACGGTCCTCAGAGAAAGCAGTAGCTTGTACTAAAGAACCTGAACCCTAGATTCACAGTGTCTGAGCTTGGCTTCTGGCTCAATCAGCTACTAGTTGTGCATACTTTCAAGCTTCACTGTTGCACCTATAACATGAAAACGGTAATAGTCATTAGGATCCACAACAAATAGGATAGTTGTGAAAATAAAGGACTAACACATGTAAAAACACTCAATATAGAGATTAGCACATGACAATGGTGAAGATAAAGGCTCTAAGTGCTCTTTAAATATTTATAAATTGCAGAATGTGTCCAGTATGCTGCTCACCCCACTAAATCTCATTGGTACAGGAAAAAAAAAAAACCTGCCTCTGCAGTACCTGAGATTGTTACTGCTCCAAATTCTGAAACATGTTTGTTGTGTTTATACTCTTCATAGACAGAACATTTTAAAAACACATGTGACTTGGATTTTTCTTTACCAACACCCGAGTTTCTTTAACAACTGTGAACATGGGATAACATGCTTGTTGTAAAGTTATTCAAGACCTAGAGCACAGAAACAGTATTTTAAAGAACTAAAGAACGTTTTTGAAGACAAACTTCAACACAGTAATAATAAAGTTTACATTTGCCATTTTTACTCTAATTTGGAAAGACGTTCAATGAAATAGCAAAAATTACAGGTTCCTGAATTAGATGAATATGTATAATATTTTGTTACCAACATTATTAATAAATAGAGGAAAAATTTGGATAAAAATTAATGTAATACAAAACAAAGGCAATAAAGATGAAGAAATATTCTGACATCTAGATGCTCTACAAACTATTATAAAATTCAGATCATACCAAGAACCACAATTAATAAAAATTAAGCAATGACTTAAAAAAAATAGTGAATAAACTTTTGATTATTTGATTATCAAATTAGTGGAGAGGTGTAAATTATGTCAACACACTGAAAGAAGATAAAATTTCTTGCTTATTTGACAGGAAACACCAACACCGATTAAGATAACAGAAGATTCATACATACTGATGCAAAGAGGTGTTGATAGCAAGGTGGGTGATACGTGTTGTCAATGCAGGAGTATTTGAAAGTGCTCACTGCTTGAGTAAAATGGAAATGTTCAGATATCTTTCAATTTGTCATATAAAGAAGTAACCAAAGAGTATGCAGCCAAAATAGGAAAGTACTGAGTTGCATCAGACAACTAATAAATATGAAAAATTACATTATTTTCGTGGATTTTGTGATGCCTATGTCAGTTTTTTAAATGTGTGATTTGTTGTGATTCTTTTCTCAATTGAAATAAATATTCATTTTGGTGACTGATTCTGATTTGTAATTTATATTACTTCTCATAAAGGAGGACTCCCCAACTGCCTAAGTTTCAAGCCCAAAATCTGGATCTGCCCCTGAGTAGGAGAGATATAAAGGGTCAAAAGGAGGAAACTGAGAGGCCTCGATCCTGCGTGAAGTCTGCGATGCCAGCTGACGCCTCTTTGCAGTTGCTGATCCAGTTTCCGTGGCCTGGTAGGCCAGTGGAGTGCTGTGGACTTTTCACAGGTTTCCCACCTTTCCTTCCACATTTGCTACGGCTATTAATGCTGCCCCAGCAACAGCTGTCTGCCGGAAGACTGAACTGGTCTGCAGCGTGACGTCCGATAGGAGTAAGTATGGCGGCAGGTAAAAGGTAAGCAGAATGATCAGTGTCAGAGAGTGTTCAGTGGAATGTGAGAGGATGTTGCCTCTGGAATTTATACAAGAACTTGGGCAGGGTAGATGAGGCATTATTATATAAGTGGTAGTGGATCTAAACTTGACCGGTGGTGACTACTGAATTTCTATGCAGGTGGTTATCTGCAAACGGAGTTTGCCGAGCTAGATCCATCTTTTATTTGAACTCTATGTTACTTGGGATGGCTTGCAGCAAGAGGCCTGCTGACGAAAACTAGGTAGGATAAGGGTGGAACACAGCACCAACTTGCCCACACCATTCCAGGAAGCATGGCCTGAGCCCTGGATGCCTTGTGCCAGCCTGCATTAGCTATTGGTGACATTTGCCGCTGAATTATATAGCTTGTTTTGTTTCACTAGTTCCTTAAAATGGACCACCAAAAACTTAAGAACTTTAAAGTGTGTATAAAAACAAAAGGTTGAAAACCACAAAAACATAAGGAAACTCTTTTGAGTTCAAATGTAAAGTATAACTGTGTTTGGAATAATTAATCTCTGAGTCCATGCATGGTTCTCTATTCTGAAGTAAACGGTGGAGTTTGCAAGGTCATTCAGTGCCCATTCTTTTATCACACACCTAGTAGGTCCAGGCATTGTGCCTGCAGCTGGGCATTCAAAGAACAAAATGCAGGTAATGGAGCTTTTTATCTTAGTCAAGACCCCAAAAAACTATAATATATGGTAAATGCTTTGGGAAAGACATGGCTAACCAGAATGAGAGTATTTGACTCCATTCTGGAAAGGACAGTATGGAAAAGAGCTTTTGGTTTTTTATGGAAGTAGAATTACTGCCTAAGAGAAAAGGAATGGGAGATAGAAATTATGGCACGGTGAGAATGAAGGTTAATTGCTTATTTCCTCCTCTGGGATGCTTTTGTAAAGCATGTAATTCTTTTATCTTCAGGGATCTGACATGTTTTAATTAATTTATACTAACATCCTAGTGTTCTAATATTTTTTTTCTTGTGATGGAAAAAATATACTTTATGAGTGGCTTGGGGCCATAATGGGAACAAACACTGAGAAGGGTGGAAAAGATGTTGACGGCAGCTGAAAACTTTTCTGTTTCACTTCACGATTTTGCCTAAAATCAGCTAAGATGGCATCCTCTTACCTCTATTCTATTTTTAACAAATGTTCTGCTTCATTTTAAAAAGTTCTAAATAAGCAAGCCTGCACTTTTATTTATTTAGATAAAATCCTCAAAAGTTATTTTTGAAACTGATTAAGGTTTAATTTAAGAATTTAAGCCCCTACTTTTAAGACAAGCATTTTTGCTATAAGTTCCAAGGAGAGCTTAGAAATCTCCTTGATATTTGTAAATCTCATTGAAATTATCACAGTAGGAGCCAAACCATATCTTGGTTTGCATATGATTTTCTACGCAGCTAATAACCTGAGACAGTTAAGAACTAATCATCTCAGCATGGCTGTACCTGCTGTTCTAAGCTTGGTAGCTGATAATTGCAGCCTAAAGTATCAGAGAAAAGAAGGAAAGAAAATGTAATATTATTCCCTTAATAGAGAATAGGGACAGTCGTAGGAAAGAATTATATAACTGTGATTTCTGCATTATTTATCTTATGTGGCAAATGTCACAGGGCTTTCAGCGAGGTTTTGTTCATTACTGTTATAGCATGAGTGTTAAGATGCATGATCTAAAGGCTCTTTTAAGAAGATTTAAGTCATTGACTTTCCTTTCAAGAATGGAAGAAGAGCGTTATTGTTATTGCATCCATTGCATTCCATAGACCTGGGAAGTACAGCCAAGCAAAAAACCCACAGAAGAAAAAAACTCGGCATTTCCAAAGAAGTGGGGGCTAAGTTCCATATGGCTTGCTGTGGTATATAGCAGATGGCCTGGGCAGCATGCTGTAAATGCTGACAGGGGCCAGCAGGCAGCTAGAGAGTGTGCCTGTTCAAGCCTGCCGCGTGAAAAAGATTTCAATCAGAGCAAGGAAAAGTGATGATTTTTATGTCTATGATTCTTTGCTTGATGCATTCCTAGGACGGAAGTAAAATGTCAGGAGGACAGATGTGAGGATAAGGTAGAATAATCTCTTGATAGGTTTACTGGTACTGAACGCCCAAGAAAACAGCTCTGGTTGCTCAGTTAGAATTCTAACATCTCTCAAACAATGGCTAAATTTTGCACAATGCTTGATATGCCAGGCTTTTAAAATGTCACAACCTTCCTAGGTAGGTTCTAATTTTATTCCCAATTTAAAATGAGGAAATGGAGCCCAAAGAGGGAGGCTGGATAATTTGTCCCCAATGAGTTGTGGAGCTGTTCCTGACCCCAGAGTTCACTTACTGCCATTACTTGAGGCTACATCTGTGCAAGATGTGTACTTGTTTAAAAGCAGGTCTTCTTCCCTATCATACATAGAGAGGACAGAAATCATTCATTCAACATACATTTCCTGCACATCTGTGAGAGGCACCATCAAGACTATGGATAGTTGGGGTGCAAGGACCCTGAAGGATTTCCAATCCATTGATTGCTAATAAAAGATAATCTCCTCCATCTAGAGAATTCACTTTAACATTCCTTCTAAGTTAGTATTTGAAAAGACCAGTGCCAGTCATACTGCCTGCTCTCCAGCTTGCGACAGCTCGCTCCAGCATTCTGCTGCCCGGGAGCCTCTCTAGCCTTGCCACCCCTCCTCACCGACAACACGTTCTGCAGCTGCCAACCTGGGTCACACTCTGCTGTCCCTCCACACGCCCAACATGTCCTTCTCTACTTCTCGGATGATTCTTTTCTTTCCACCTGCAATTCACCACATCTCACTCACCTCAAAATCCCTCTTGTCCAACATAAATGTGAATGTCCTCCACAAAACCATCTTTGGGCTTAGCCCATATGCCACAGCCAGAAGAGCCTCCCCCTCCCCTGGGGCTTCCAGGATGCCTTGTCCACACCTTTTGGGACATGGGATACATTGTGTCAGTGTTGTGATTGTTTTGTACTAGTCTTACCAACCCTTCTAAATGGCATCATTTTAAGGGAAAGTTTTTAGTCTATCCATCTTTGTGTACACCAGGATCTAGCAGTGTGTTGAATAGATGGCTGAATAAATAATTCTCCTTGAACAAAATTATTCTGCATATTAATGACATTCCTGTGGTTAAAAACTAAATTAAGCCGCATTTTCAGAAGAAATGTCCTTACCTAAGACCAACCAGAGATGGATAACTTTCATCTAGAACATTAGGATAAACAGTCCCCTAATGACAGGTGCCACAAATGGTGAAATGTCCAGTCATTTGAGTGAACGATATTATTTCTTCTGGAATTGCAGTGATTTTGTCTGGCCAAGCCTGAGACCTGTAGCTGGTACTTTTCCAATCTCTCAGCCTCCATTATCCCCTATAAGTTCCAGCCCTCATCACCTCTGTCCTGTTTTCTTGCAATAGCTTCACACATGGGTGCTCTGACTTCCGACTCTCCCTCCCTCTCTCACTTTCTCTCTCTCTACTATAAACCACCTCCCTCCAGACTCCAAAGTGATCTGAAATATTACTTCTTTGAAGAGGCAATAGACCAGAGTGGTTAAGAGGGTGGGCTTTGCAGTCAATGATGTTTAAGTTTGTGTCTCTAGCTGGCCACTTACTAGTTAGCTCTGTGACACTGCACAAATGACTTAGCTTCTCTAAGCCTGCTTTTCCTCTTCCACATTCAAGAAGACTACTACACCATAACATTGTTGTGAAAATCTCTCATGTAACATGCTCAAGTCACATGCCTGGCATAAAGAGTCTCAATTGCTGAATGCTAAAATGTTAATGTCATTCCTTTGCTTTAGAAAAAAAGAAGGAAACTTTAAGTGGCTCCCAATAAGGTAAAATAAAAATATACACATCATGGCTTTAAATAGAAAAATATAAATCTCATAATTATTGAGTCTCATTCTATCTTTACAATATGGTTTCCTGATTCCTTCTTCCATGTAAGCCCTTCCTTCAGCCACAAAGAATTTTTCAATTTTTCCTTGTCATTCCCTTTCACACCAATGAATATGTAGGTCTGTCTGACTGGAATTCTCCTGAAGTCCACCTGCTAAACACCTACATAATTCAAGACTCAATTATAAACTTATTTGTATAGTCTTATTACTCCAGACAGAATTAATTCCCTCATTTTGCTTCCAGCTATGCTATTCTTAGATCTATTAAAGTAAGTTTCAAATGGCATTGCTATTGTTTATTTGTCTTTTTCTCATTAAGCTATAAAATCCTGTTAAGAATATGTCTTATTAGTGTCTAGTTAGATACCTAGTAGAAGTGCCTGACATAGAGTAAACTTCCATAAATATTTGTAAAATGCATTAATAAATGTGTAAGTGGATAAATCCAGGAACCAAAGGAATCATTCTTTGTGGAAGAAAGATATAAAGCCAGCTGACATGTATTGGGCCTGAGTATTTTATTTATAAAATGAAATGACAAAATACACACACACACGAACAAATGTACAAGGAAGTAAACAAAAAATAAAGGAAACAATTCAATATCAGGGACTGGTGTTGGAGAATAGTATGCCTTCTGTGCTTGCTCAGCCTAATCCCCTAAAGCCTTTTTTCATATCTTTAATGAGTTCTGGGCAGTAAAAGTTCATAATGGTGACCTGGAGCCATCATAAGGCAAAACCCATCTTCTGCTTATCTTTCTACTGACAGGACATTCAGTTTATCACAATATTCCAATTCTTGGTCCTTCAAGCTTACTATAATAAGAAAGTCAATAGGATTATGCTTCAGGGACTTACAAAAGCAAATAATCCTAGACAAAGGAAAAGCTTTATGCCCAAAGACTTACTTGTGTTACCACATATAATAGTAAAAAAATTATAAACGAAATGCCTAAGATATAATAATGTTAACTATATTGTGACACATTTATTCTGTGGAATTCTGCTTTTTCAAATTACATTTTTGATGTATATATAGTATAATAAGAGAATGCTTTCAATATGTGAAATTAAACATCAGGTTATATAACTGCAAATAGACAAGGATCACAACCATGTAATAAAAACAATGGATAGACAAGATACTGAAAAAAATACATCAAATATTAGTAATATTTGGGCAGTGGAGCCAACATTTTCTTTTAATTCATAGTAATTTAAAATGTTCTTTAATGAAATCTATTATTATTATTATTATTAAAATATTATTTAAATTTTTTAGTCCCAAAGCATATTTTGATGGACTAATCAAATATTAGGCCAATTTAGTCCACTGTACATTAGAAGCCTGTATTAGTCATTCAGCCATCTTAGAACATTGTTCTAAGATATTAGCTAGGCTTTTATGTTAATGAAGCAAGCTGCTTGGGAGCACCTATTGTGTGAAGTCTTTGTGTTAGGCATTGGGTTGGGGGAGAGAAGATACAAAGATACTACACAGTATCTCATAGTATCTTCACATTCTACTTATGTGGCTTCGTGCACCTGATTCCCAATTCTCTCCAGTACAGCCTGTCTATGTCAAATGCTCTAATAGAGATGAGAGTAAAGAGCTACGTGGGATTTAACTCTGCTCGACAGTACTAGAGGAGTGTGTACAGGAAGCTGACATGTGAGCTGGGAGTTAAGGATTGTGAAGTCTAAAAATGTAAGGGAGGAATATTCCAGAAAGAGGAAGAAAGACATTAAAATGCATGTGGAGTATGAGTTGTCTGCTGTGATGGGAACATTCAAAGACTTGGCACGAGGCAAGTATAATTGCAATAATGCATTTGTTGGCAGTGTACATGAAAAGCCTAAGTAAACTTGATCCTCCTCCATGTTTAAATATTATATTCTTAAATTATTCTGAAAAACTCATATATCTGTAAATTAATTTCCCATGCTTTGGCCTATTTTTGTTTTCAGTTCTGGACTTGTATAATTATAGTTAGGGTTCTAAAACAACATTAAATCTTTATTCAGGATTTACCTTGTACCAGGCACTCTGCTAAGCATTTTCCATACATTATCTCACATGAACCTCATGAAAACCATAAGAACTAGGTCCTTATCCCCATTCTACAGATGAATAAACCAAGGCACAGAAATATTAAATAATTTGCCCAAGGTCATGCAGATAGTAAGTAGGAATAAAAGAATGTGAAGGCCAAAACTAATCACGTGATTCAAATTTGAATTAATTC